GGGATTTCGGCGCGGACCCTAGGGTTTGTTTACGTCCCGAGGAGCGCCCTGGGGGCACCCGCACACCCCAGTGCCGCCCGGCTCTTTTGTGTGCTGGCAAGAGTGGCGCAGATCTGCTCCCAAGCGGCCAGAGATCCCCCTGGGGGGCGTTTTGGGGAAATTTGCGAGGGCCGGCGGGGTGCCCCGTGCGCGGTGCCCAAGGGTCTGGGCGCCCGGGACCGCTTGGCCGGCGCCGGTGCGAGAGCAGAGCTGCAACTTTCCCCGAGCGCAGGCCCCGCGCGTCTTCCCGGCGCGCCGTCTGCTCGGGCGAGGGACACTTCCTCTTCGCCGCTGTCGGAGGAGCCCTGGCCCCGCACTCGGGGGCTCTCGGGGCCCCCGATGACCCGTCGCCCGCTCGATTCGGACCCTCTCCTTGGAGACTCTGCCGTCTAAGCAGGGTCGGCGTGCCAAATGGAGCGCACTGAGGCTCAGCAACGAAATGCCTTCTCGGGCCGGGATCTTGGAAGCAAACCTCCGGGGACTGCGCTGGACTGGGGCGTGCTGGGCCGTAGTCTGCTCCCCGAGCCCCGGACGCCGCGGGGGGAACGTGCCGGCGCTCTCCACCCGGCATCCGAGTCGCCGCCTCTCCCCGGGGGCGCTTTTCTGCTCGACGTCCCCCACCTAGAAGAGAGGTGCGCCCTCGGGGTCTGCCCCGCGCGTGCCAGCTCCGCGCTCGCGGCTCCTAGACAGCCTCGGGACTCTGCCAGGTGGATGTTGTGCGTAGCCGGAGCCAAGTTGAAGGTGAGCGGCTTGTGGGCCAGCGGCGCCTTTGAACGCTGGGGCCGGGGATGCAGCTTAGAAAGGTCCAGGGACCCTCTCCGGGGGTCCCTCAGCGCCCCTGCTAACAGCTACTGCTGCCAGCTCTAAGGTGGGCGTGAAGGTAGACTTGGCTGAACTTTCCTAACCGGGAAGACTGGCGACTGTGACCTATGATACCTTTAGGAGTAAAACAAATGAACTCCAGATGGGGGCTTACATGAAATGAAGTGGATTGGATTAAAACCTACATAAATGGAGTCTGACAACTTTAATTGTATATGCTTGTTTTCTGCCCTTGCCTACGTAAAAACGATAAAGCGGACTCAGAGTCGTGCTGAAATTGACTCAGAATTCTTGCTTATAGAAAGAAGACTATGTGAAATATTTCCGATAAGATTAAACTTAAAGGAGTTTGAGTATATATTGACTAAAACAGATTACTCCAAAGTGTCTATTGTGTAAATTAGATTCCTGAGTGTAATGAACACAGCCGAATGGCATTTTTGATAAATTGGTCTACCCTGTTTTAGTAAAAATAGCTCCCTTTTACCATAATTTAATTTCTGTGCTTACTGTAAAACCCGTTGTGGAGTTTTAAGAGACAAACCTTAATTTTTTCTTACTAAATGTGACATCTTAGCTTAATTGTCAGTGAAGTTTCTTTTTCAAGCATCCTGGTCAAACTGCCTGGGAAGTAGATTTGGTGTCTAAATAGCGGCTAGATTTTGTGAATGCTATGGCCCCCATTCCTCTCCCTCAGTGATTAGCCACATCTTCTGGGATCTTGGGGACAGTCATCTGTGTGACTCTAAGACCAGAGAGAAAGTTCCCCTGTTGGTGTGCTGGAGTGAACTTTACTATATTGATCTTACAAAATAATAATAAAAATAACCCTTTATCTGAGTATCATTCTGTCTCTTGGGCATCCAGTGCCTTTTGGTGGTAGATAATCATTTGGCCTTAGATGATTTCCTGTTGCCTCTTTGCCACATGTTTGAAACCTTCACTGAGTGTGGAATGCAAAGTGGAAGTATAAGCCTAAACTAGTTCTTTCTGTGGGCGCTGCAGAGGCCTTATGAGTTACCTGGTTTAGTGTCTTCCCACTGATGATGGTAAGTGAGCGCAGGAGACTGCAGTTAGAGAATCCATTCGTTGGAAACTAACCTTATCTTTCCTGAGCCCCTTACACTGTGATTGGGTTGCCTGCAGAGCCCAAGTGTGGGTTGTGTGGCCTTGCTGGGTCTTGGCTCCTTGCAAGCCCAGGTTAGAGAGCTCAGTGGATCCCTTGGTGGTGGTGGTGAGAGTGGTGGGGGGAGGCTGCCATCTGCACCTCCCTGTGGACGAAGGGAGCCTGGACTGCGTCCTTGCCCTGCTGCTTGGTTTGTCTTGAAGGCTGCCGGGGGACATGGAGTGAGTGCCCAGGGAGAGAGTTTCTGAAGATTGAACCTTATTTCGTTTCCTTTTTAGTCCCAAAGCTTGTGGCATGAAGTTTCAGTGCTTTGGCATTGCTAAGACTAGTTGGACAACTTTTTATCCTATCTCAGACTTGTAAAAGCCAGGTTGTTTGTGTATTTAATTTTTAAATAAGAAAAAAACCCATTGTACACATACGCCTTTTAAATACATGTATGTGTTTGAAAAGAGGACACATTGTGGAACAAGCTCACGTGACTCTGCATGTTAATGCCACCTTGAACTTTCTGGGTTGGGGCCTGCTCTTGACTGCCTTTCCCTTTTGGGTGTTATTCCTCCCCGGGGACCAGGGCTCCCCTTTGGGTGATTAGGAGTCTCTTCAAAACTAAACTTACAAGGTTTCCTTCTTTTGCAAAATAAGACAACAAATTCCGTTTTGCTGAAAGCTTACTTTATGGGTGCTTTTCTTTTGTTTTCCCTGTTCTGGAAGCGTGTGTGTATGTGTGTGTGTGTGTGTGTGTTGCCTGCCTTCCAGGACTGTTCCCCATAAGAATGACATGATTTTAATTAAAGTGTGTATCCAAGCTAGTATCCTTTATTCAATAATGTGTAAATATGGGGCTTCTATAGCACTGCTGTTTTATTAGTTTTTTTTTTCCTTCTTCCTTCTTTTAATATTGCTGTGTCTTTGAGATTGGGTATGTAAAGGGTCATTATCAGTCGATTGAAGTTTTTTCCTGTGTAAAAACTGCATAGTTTTTTTTTTCCTTATGAAGTTCAAGTCAGTAAAGGGATGGAGTTACCTGACAACTCCTGATACACTTGGGTCCACAGAGCCCCTTCTCCCACGTCCTCACCTTCATGTCACTCATGTGGGTGGTTAGCTGGGTGAGGAAGTTGGAAAGGAAGGGACAAACTGCCAGTCTCCTCAGGACAAACAGCCCTGCACCCACTGGGCTAACCTTAAAAGTGCTGTCTGGTGAGCTGATGGCAGGACCTTCAATGGCGGCTGAAACGGCCCTGTGCTCTGCTACTGTACAGTTAAAGCAAACCTGCCAGGGTTGGTGCTAGAGCTTCGGGGAAGCATGTTTGTGTTCTTGTGATCCCCCTCCGGGCCTACCTGTAGCAGCTAACGATCAAAACCGTTCCTGGTGAGAGACTACCAGGCAAGAAGTAGAGAAACCTCTATTTGTGTCAGCTCATTTATGAAGCCCAAGGAACATCCTGGTGAAATGCAGGAAGGACAGGTTTGGAGGGGAAAACGTGTACATTTTTTAAAAAAGAGAAGTTCACGGGATGAAAAATCCTACATGGCTCGGTGCCTTTCCCGCCTCTGCTTCCATTTTACACAGCTCACAACATATGTGACCTCATGTATGGAATGGAACACAGACGCGACCTAAAAGCTACTGTGAAAGTTATTTTAATAGACAGCATCAGAAATTAATTTAAAAGCCTATTGGAAATGTTATAACAACATTTGAAAATAGAATTGTTTTTCCCTGGGAAAAGTCTGATTTGTATGATTGTCACTCGACAGGTTTGTGTGTCTAGTCGTCTTGGATCTGAAGCCGTGTGTTATGGCTGCAGAGAGGTAGTTTTGATTTCCGTTGAAATTTCGCTGCCTCTGATTGTTTAAACCAGACCCTTAATCTTATTTGAACTATTTAAAATGTTCCCCAAACCCGGAAGCATTGTTTTGTGTAAGTAGCAAGTGAATGTAGTTTAAACCCTCCAGCAATTTCAAGTATCTAATTGGAAACAGGTGGAATTCTTGGAATCCTGTATTTGAATCTTATTATATGTAGCAAAGTGTAAGGAGCCCTGGTGGTGCAGTGGTTAAGCGCTTGGCTGCAAACCAAAAGGTTAGCGGTTTGAGCCCCCAGCCACTTTGTGAGAGAAAGATGGGGCAGTGGGCTTCTGTAAAGATTTACAGCCTTGGAATTCCAGTGGGGTAGTTCTACTTTGTCCTATAGACTCGTTATG